GGCGGTTCGCAGGGCTGCGGGGGCCGTGTCTGTGCATGTGCCTCTTGTGCAAGTGGCTGCGGGGTGAGCAGCGGGCACCCCCGCCCTCCTCCCGCCGCTGGGCTCCCTTCCCGCACAGCGAGCTGATCCTGCCCGGCAGTCGAGAGCCGGCAGAGCCCGCAGCTGCCCCCAGCACTCCCCTTTTCTGGGGCCAGAGCCAGAGCAGGGCCCGGGAGCTCCCAGGGCATGGCGAGAGCTCCCCTCCCCTCGGGGCACCGCGGGCACAGGGACCGCGCTGCTGGCACGCTGCAAAGGGAGATGGAGCGACAGAGGGATTTCGGGAGAGGGAGGGTGTTAAACACTTTGTACTTACAAGGGCTTGCAAGGTACTCGCGGGAGATCAGCAAAAGTGAATGCTGAAATCAGTTATACGTGACTCGAAAATATTTCTTTCGGTCTTTTTTCCCCTCTGCATGTTGCAAATGCAAAGGCAGCTTTGAGGATGCTCTAAATGACGGGCTGCTCCCAGACACGGGAACACAGAGATGAAAAACATGGAGCTTTCCACCCAGAAGGGGACATTTCAGCACAGTTCCATCAGGAAAACCAGCAAAAGGCTGTCATTTTGTTCCAATGCAGAAAAAAAGAAACTCCAAATTAATAAAACAGAATTATAATTTCCAGTCAACTCTATGAGCATCTGGTCCAGTTCTGCCTGGACTAGAAAACAAAGAATGCAGAGAAGGTTTGAAGCTTCTGCCTGAAGACCTGCCACTCCAGGTCTGAGACAGAAGCTGGAATTGCTGGGGTGTTTTAATTAATTTAATTTACTGGAGAGCACCAGAGCGGGTGAGTCACTTTTCTGTTTTCCGAGGTCCTTGCCAAGCCAGTGCTCCAGCACCGCATTACAGACATGACCACTAGAAATTAGATTTGAAATGAACATGAGATTAAAGCCCCAGCTTGCATCATTAAAGATCCTGTGGTCGTTGCTGGAGAGCACAGCTGCCAGCCACATGCAAGCACAGCGGTTCCGCTGCCCCGAGCTTCCCGGGACGCTGCTGCCACCACCCTGGGAGCTCTGTCCACAGCAGGGCAGGGTGTTCATCCTCAGCAGGGCTGGGTGTTCATCCTCAGCAGGGCTGGGTGTTCATCCTCAGCAGGGCAGGGTGTTCATCCTCAGCAGAGCTGGGTGTCATCCTCAGCAGGGCAGGGTGGTCACCCTCATCAGGGCACAGAGCTCACCCTCAGCTGGGCACAGAGCTCACCCTCAGCAGGGCACAGGGCTCAGCTCACACCATGGCACAGAGCTCACCCTCAGCAGGGCACAGCCAAGACTCAGCTCACACCATGGCACAGAGCAGGAGTCACTGCTGGCTGGGCTGGGAGATGTTCCATGCTGCAGAAGGGACAGCCTGGCAGGAGAGCAGCCTGGCAGGAGAGAGTCCTGGGGATGCCAGGCTGCCTGCTGCCATCCTCCTGAAAGCCAAAAGGGCAAAGGCAGAAGCCAGAGGGACAAGTCAGAGTGTGCCCAGCTGGCACAGACCCACACCTTTGGTAGCTGGGACCTGCAGAGCCCAGCAAGCACAAGGGACACAAATCCAAACTCAGAAAAGGAACAGAAACACCCGCAGGCAGGTCCTGGGTTGGGAGTCGTGGCTGGGTGCTCAGCAGACACTGGGCAAGGACATCCAACAGCCTCAGAGCCCCCTCAGCAGGGGGACACCAGCCCAGCTGAGAGATGAGGGGCAGGGAGGGGGACAGCCCAGCACACTGCTTGTGACCACACTGGCACACCAGGGACAAGGAGTCACCCTCCAGTCCTGGTGGGCAATGAGTCTGGCACAGCACAAGGCACGGCCAGCTCAGCAGCAAAATCGGGGCTGCAGCTCCTCCCTGGAGCACCAGACCCCAGCAGGAGCACAGGGGGGACAGCAGCGTGGCTGGTACCACTCTGCAGGTACGAAACAGCAGCGGGGAAAGGACCAGGTGGGGATCTGTCAAAGGGGCTCAATGATCCTGGAGGTCTTTTCCAGCCTAAGTGATTCCATGATTCTGAGTCTTCCTCTTGCTGCCTGGTCTTTTTTTAAGTCAATAGCTCCAGACTCTTCTATTTCCTGAAATGTTTGGTGGTTTTTTGAAGGGCGGGTGAAGCCAGTCAAACGTTAGCTGCTCCTCCAGTGGCTGAATGCAGCTGATAACCAGGTAAATTCTTGGTTTTCTTTGCTTCCTTTCTCCCGTAGGTCAGCACCTCTTACTACCCCTCACCAGGACCACTGGGGCCTCCAGCAGCCATCGTCACCCTGCCCCACCTGCAGCAGCACGGGCCAGCTTACCTGTACGTAAGGAAACTGAAATGCTTTGGGGGACAGGCTGGGATTTCCTGTAGCCTCAGCATGAGCTTGCTCCTGCCAGCAAGCAGGAGCTTGGATCCAAATGCAGATCCGTGTAGGAATGTACCTGGCTGGTATAAGCAGGGGGTGGCAGAGGCCTGGTATCACAGCTGAGTGCATCTTTCTGCCTCACTGCAGAATCTATGAAGAAATTATATTTGTCAACAATACATTTTAATTTTTTTTTAAGTGTAAAAAAACTAGTTACTCCTTTAGTGCCTCCAGTTATTTCTGACAACTTTCACAGAGTTAAAATTTGCAGATAACACCCTATGATGATTACATCAAGGTAAGATTCACCACCCTGGAACTTCAGTAAAGTGTCTAAAATAACAACAGCATCACAACACACTGTTTACACAGCACTCAGCACCCCTGCTACAGAGCCAGGCTGTGGGAATGCTGGTGCCCAGGTGTAGCACCCACAGCTGAGCGCTGTGTTGGGACCCACACACACCATCACCAATCAGCCGAGACTCCAGCACACACTTAATCCAAAGGACAAGACAATATCCAAGACCTTAAAATAATTTGCAGAAGGATGGTGTGAGAGCATCCCACCAGTGCCTGGTTTGCACAGAGGCCGTGTCAGCCCAGCACCTGCACTGCCTCCCCTTGAGGTGTTTCCTGAACAGCCGTGAGCTGTTCCTAACCCCGAGAACGCCCTGAACCCAGCTGGGCTGGGGCAGACCCCGAGGGAGCAGCCCCTCACACAGCCTGGCCCAGCAGGGCAAACCTTCAGATTCTTGTCATGAATAACAGGGAGAGAGAAACCCTTCAAAGAGTTCTGGAGTAGCCCCTGACCATCCAGACACCCCTTGTGTTGTTTCTGTTTTGTAAGTAACACCTGATAATTGCAGTGTTGGGCTGTAACTCATTGATTCTTGGGGTAGATTACATCCCCCTCGAAAAAACAACAGTGCAATTAAATGTGTTACACTGGAGACAAATTCAAGTCCCTTAAAGAACAGATAGGGCAAAGTTTTGAGAAATACACCATTTTCTTTGCTGCTGTTTTGCTGTGAGCTTACCCGTGGGTCATTGCAAAGAACAAAGCTTCAGCCCTTGGTCCCGATCCCAGAATCACGGAAGAGAGACCTAGGGGGAATTTCAGACTAATTTCTAGTCTGATTTCCTCGCTGCCCTGGAGTGGACCCATGTACCTCCTCCTGCCTCCTGCTCTGTCTGCTTCATTCTCCATGGCCTCCGGTGGCAGCGACCCCAGTCCTTGTGCTGCAGTCGAGGAGGAGGAGGGAGGCAGGAAGGAAGGACAAGGGTGGTGTTTTCCCTGGGCCTCCAACACCTCCTGGTGATGCTCCAGGCAAGCAGATCCAAGGCCTCTGGTTTCAAAGGCAGAATTGCCTGATGCTATCTTAAACACCATAACTGTCCTCTTTTAAGAGCTTTGCCTTAGGACAGGTACTTGTCCTGATCGTGCTTCTGATGGAGCACTGGCTGTGTGATGTGCAGAGCAGCAGCTGGGAGTCCCCAGCATTTGTCACCGTGGGCTGGAACTTCTAGGACAGAAACCATCCTCCCGAGCTGCTTTGTTCTCCATTCCATTGCCTTTTGTTTTATTCACATCCCTTTTGGCCTGAGGTGACAGGCTGTTTCCTCCCTGCAAGTTCTCTCCACAAACGGCAGCACCCAAAGCTCGATGCAGCCCTGGCAGAAGAGGCTCGGGGCAGGCAGCAGCTGCTCCGGCAGGGGCGGCAGCATCCCCCAGCCCAGCTGGGATGCTCCAGGCAGCCTGCACGGGGCAGCTCTGCCTCCCCTCACAGCCTCTCTCCGCAGGTGCGTGGCTCTCCACTCCTACACCGCTCAGGCACCGGACGAGCTGGAGCTGCAGAAGGGAGAAGGGGTCCGTGTCTTCGGCAAGGACCAGGACGGGTGGCTGCGGGGCATGTCCCTGGTCACGGGCAGAGTCGGCCTCTTCCCCGGCAACTACGTCACCCCCCTCTTCAGGTCTGGGATGTCTTCTTAGGTGAAACAAAAACGAGCAGAGGGAAGGGGGTAACACGGGGAACCTGGGCTCTTCTGGTTTCCATAGAGAACCCGTGGCAAGGCATCCCCTCGGTACTGACAGGGGACCCCCAGCGCTGACCAGGGCCGGGGGTCCCTCGCCAGGCGGGATGGCACCCGACAGCTCTGGCTCTTCTTTTCCAGCAGGAAATCTAGTCTCTCCGAGTCCAAGATGCCTTCCCTGTACACCTCATGGACGCTGTCGACCTCCTCGCTGTCGTCGCAAGGGAGCGTGTCCGAGAAGGGCCCGAGG